CAGTGAGAGAGTGAGACTGAGACAGTGAGAGAGTGAGTGAGTGAGTGAGACAGTGAGTGAGTGGGTGAGTGAGTGAGAGAGTGAGTGAGTGAGACAGTGAGAGAGTGAGACAGTGAGTGAGACAGTGAGAGAGTGAGAATGAGACAGAGAGTGAGTGAGTGAGAGAGTGAGTGAGTGAGTGAGTGAGTGAGGCAATGAGAGAGTGAGAATGAGACAGAGAGAGTGAGTGAGAGTGAGTGAGACAGTGAGTGAGAGAGAGTGAGTGAGTGAGTGAGAGTGAGTGAGTGAGACAGTGAGAGTGTGAGACAGTGAGAGAGTGAATGAGTGAGTGAGACAGTGAGAGAGTGAGTCAGTGAGTGAGCGAGGCAGTGAGTGAGCGAGGCAGTGAGTGAGTGAGCCAGTCCTTTGTACATTTTATTGAGCTATTTAATTAACATCATCCGATTCAGTAGTCCAGCCCTGTCGAGAAGTGTGGTGGGATCATCGCCACCATCAGCTTTGGCACCTCTTCTTCTTGTCCCCATTGATGCCGACTCCCCAGTCTCCCCACCTTCCCCTTCCGTGTCCCCAGGCCATCATCGACCTACCTACTGTCTTCCTCATCCCACCCTCCTGGGTATTCTGCAGGGAACCAGATGGCTCTGTCTTCCTCACTCAGAGCAGCTGGTGGGTTTGAACCACTGACGTGTGTCCTAGCAGCCAGGCATCTGGCCTAACCACGACACCATCCGGCTTCTCGTCCTTAGGCTGTGGCGATGCTAGTGTTTGCTTGGGTGTGCAGCGCAGTTCATGAGCTGTTCTTACCCCACTGGGCATTTAGGTTGTTGTGCACAATGCCGTGATTAACACCGGCAGGCTGTATTCCTCGTTTCTCTAGGACATGGACCTAGTAGATTGATTGCTGGGAGCCCGGGTGGTGTATGCCTAGTGCCACTGACCACAAGGTCAGAGGTTCGAAAGCACCAGCCGCTCCGAAGGAGAGAGATAAGGCTTTCTACTTCTGTAAAGATTTTGGGCCTCAGAAACCCACAGGGGCCGTTCTACGCTCTTCCTAGGGTTGCTATGAGTCGGCATCGATTTGACGGAGTGATGTTTGGGAGCTCAATCGCTGCGAGCTCAATTGCTGCGTCCTATGATAGTTCTAGTCCCAGATTCTCGAAGAAGGGACACAGCGCCTTCCACAGCGGCTGTTGCAAAGCTGCCCAGTGCTAGCCCCAGCCTCCTGTCCCCCCAGGTGGCCGAGCTTGAGGAAAGAGTCGGTACACAGAGACAGGAGCTCACCATCCTCCAGCGCTCCCTGCAAGACAAGGCTGCAGAGGTGGAGGTGGAGCGGGTCGCGGCCAAGGTCAGGGGCTGAGGCCGTGGGTCTGGGTCGGTTGGCTGTGGCTGCAGGGCAGAGGTGGGGCAGAGGAGGCTGAGCTGTGACCCATATCCTCCCCAGGCCCTGCAGGGGGAGCTGAGCCGCGCCCTGGAGGCCCGGCGCCGGCAGCAGCAGGCGACAGCCAAGGCTGAGGAGCAGCTGAAGCTAGTAACCAGTTCTGTGTGCAGGTACCTGGGCCTGGCGGTGGGGCTGGTTCTTAGGGCCTCAAGCCGGGGTGGGGGTGGGAGGGTGGGGTGCTGGACTGGAAAACTGGGTCTGTAGCGTAGAGGGCGGGTGTCTTCAGGGCTGGTCTGTTTTTGAGGGGACAAACCCTTCCCCATCGCATGGGGTGGGGCAGTTGCTTGGAGCCCCCAGTGGTGCGGGCGAGGCACTGTTCCTCTATCTTAATCTATAGACAGCTGTCAACTCTGTAGAGCAGGGAGGCCGGTGCCAGCTTCAGAGCTGCAGGTGGAGGTGTGGGTACTGGGTCTTCCTGGTCATTCCTTACATGCCCTCCTCCTCTCCGTGTGTCTTTTTCTGACTCTCTGAAACTTACACAGGCCTGGCCGGTTACTTTTAGGGGGGAAAAAAATCAATGTATCTTACAACTCTATACCCAATTGCTTACCGGAACCGGACGCCAGCTTCCTTATGAAATCAGTTGCAAGCTCATGTTCTTCTTAGAACCCACATCCCAGCTGGTCCGTTAACGACTCTGGTTGCCGCACCTCTCAGCTCACCTGGAGAAAGGCCTCTGTGAGTGCCCCTCTCTCTCGGGCACCGGGCCCCGGGCCCCGAGGTCCCAGAGGCATTGCCTAGTGTTTCTATGTCGGCAGATGGCCCCAGCAAGAGCCACCGCAGGTGTGGAAGTGCCCACTTAGACGGTCGCCACGTCTAGGTGATCTTTGGGGCACCAGCCCTTGTCTATCTGTTGGCACAGACTTGGGCTGCCCCGAGGAAGCCCCGGCCCTGCCCACGCACGCTCCCCGGGCACCCGGGGCTTAAGTTCTTACTCTCTAACTGCGGACACCAATCCCACTGCCATCCACCTGGGAGCCTCTGGCCCAGCCAGCTCACACAGAGCCCCCGCTGGCTTGGGTGCCTGGACAGGCTGACCAGACCCTGAGGAATGGGCTAGCAGGCTGCCCCAGGCGTTGCATTTTCCTGAATGCTCCAGGATGTTGTGGTTCCCAGGGCCGGAGAAGACAGGAGCCCTTGATGCGCCGCCTGACGGTTGTAGGAGTGCTGCCAAAAGACCCTGATTGGTGCCTGGAACCATCTAAAGGGCAGTGGTCTTTTTCTTTTGAGGAGCTGTGCTTTTGTTTGGAAATGAAACAGGCAGGTTGGCCCCAAAACTCAGTATTCTCATATCACTCTCTATCAAAGACTTAGCAGGGAACACTTTAAGGCAGGCATCTTCAACCGACGGCCCGCGGGCCATATGCACCCCACCGAGGACATTTATCCGCCCCGCTGGGTGTTTTTGCCCCGTTTGTTTTTTTACTTCAAAATAGGTTTTTTGCGTCTTGCTTGGGGATTTGTTCATAGTTTTTTTTAAAAACTATAGTCCGGCCCTCCAACGGGTCTGAGGGACAGTGAACTGGCCCCCTGTTTAAAAAGTTTGAGGGAAAAAAAAAAAAAAGAAAAAAAAGTTTGAGGACCCCTAGGCCTGAGATCCAACAACTGTTTCTCTGGTCCTTTCCTACCAGTTATTACAGCTTGCCCACAGGATGGTCCTTCCACCCCTCCCTGGGGTTAAGGGGCCATCCTTGACGGTCAGTGGGAGAGGGAACAGTCCGGGCTCTCCATTCAGAGGGCAAACCTCAAAGTAATGCAAATGAAATATAAAGAAGAGGTACAGGAATCTGCGTGTCATTGCCCCCAACTGAGGGAAAAGGGGTCAATTAAAGAGGGGGTGGGGGGCAGTTTGCACTTCACAAATCTGGGTGTTTTCTTCTCAGAGCGGCAGAGCCTGCCAGGAGTCTAATACTGTACTTCCGTAGCCTGCAGACACGGTTCAACAGAGAACGTGTAAAAGTGGCAGGGCAGAGGTCTCAGCTCAGTTTCCAGAGAGGGAAGGCGAGTCAAGGTCAGCAGCCCAGGGTGGATTCCTGGGAGGGGGAGGTCAGATACACCTTCTCTCAGCGACCTAGCTCCCAACTCTGACCCCTCCCACGGGACTGGCCTGAGCTTTGCTGGCCTCGGTCACTGACCGCAGTGGTCACAGAGAACTCAGGAGTATGGGGTTGATGAGGGAAGTAGCAGGGCTGTAATTCAGGATCAGGAAGGACTCGGGATACAGTCCTAGGTCAGGACAGCGTCTCAGCCATCCCTCCAGGCCCGCCGCACTTGCCCTCAGCCCCTTGCCCTGCCCTCTGTCCTGCTAGGACAGGTTACAAAGCTCTTCAGTCCCTCTCTTAAGTACCCTCCGCACTGCTAGCAAGCCTTAGTCCAAAGGTGCTCAGCTCCACTGTCATTCTCGGACTAGCAAACTCCCTGTCCTGGTTCTGCTGCTGCGATTTCTACTACCTGGCATTAAATGTGTCCTTCCTCTCTTGTCTCCTGGGTCTAGGACACACCTGTCTCCCAGGTCCTAAGACCACAGTCTGTCTCTGACGCCTCTTGGTGATGGTGCGGTGCCCTCCTCCCCTCAGGGTGGCTCATTTTAAGCCTAGTGAGATGGCCAAACCAGCTAGACCTGTTGCTAGGGTCCCCTATCTGCTTGGTGCCGCACATTCTTCTGGGAGGCCCTGTCAGACCAGGGCTCGAGAGGCCCAGTAAAGTCGCACTGCCCCAGTGCCTGCTCACACGCTGCCCCAGTGGTTACTGCTCTGCCGAACATGCTGTCTCCAACCCTGTGCCTTTAAGCGTTCTTTCCGCCGTGCGCCCGTGAGTCACAGAAGAGGTAGAGGGAAGGCTGCCCTAACATGCACAAGCATCCGTGTAGTTCGTGTGCTGTTGCCAGGACTCGGGTCATGGCTGAGACACGAAGGACTGTGGGAGCTGCCTGATTCAGAACAGAGCCCAGACCGTCGATAAGGAGACACGTAGCCTTTTCTTGCCGTTGGTTACTGGTGCCGTGGGAAGGACGCCCAGGGAGCCCCACATTCACTCAGCAGCTCAGACGGGAGCTTTCTCGCTGTGGGGCTGCGCTCTGTGGGCTGGGCATTCGGGCCCCGAGTTCTTTCCGGTTTACCGCTGCACCTGCCGAGTCGGGCTGAGGGGGATGCAGCTTCTCAAGCGTGCTCTGGGTGGGCTGTACCAGTTCTTCTAAGACGCCTCGCGGGGTTGGTCAAACACGGTGGCGTCGGATCATTTGTCCAGGACAGGCACTCGCAGGTTCTTGGCGCCTGGGTCCTGCCCTCTCGGTGCCTGTGACGGGGGCTGGCTGAGCGGAGCGGCTCCTGAAAAGGGCCGGTGAGCCAGGGCATGGGCCTTGCAGGCCTGACCTCGGCCCTGGCCCCAGCTTCTCTTCCCCACGTCCGGCTCCCCCTTCTGCCTTCCCGTCTTGTCCGACAGCGCGGGCCGGGGCCACAAGGCCCTTTGGGAGGGAGGTGACGGGGACTGGGTCACTGACCTGGGCCGTCCCCAGCTCTCAGGTCTGGCTCCAGAACACTGTGGCCAACGTGGAACAGGCTATCGCCCAGCTGCCCAGCCTCAGCAACCGGCTCAACTATGCCGCCCGCAAGGTCCACACCATTCAGGGTGGGTAGGGCCCCAGGGAGATGCCCCTGCCACCTGCAAGGTCCACACCATTCAGGGTGGGGAGGGCCCCAGGGAGACGCCCCTGCC